ACAACAGTGAGACAATAATTTCAACACAGTTCAATCAGAACACATGACAGAGGTACATTATAGTAGTTATGACCAGCAAAGCTAAACTGGACCTGCAGATTTTGTTTTTCCAAACATTGAATTTCCTGTTCACTTTCTTATCATCCAGAACTTCCTTCCTGCCCCCACTGACCTAGAAATTATTCCACTGCTTAGGAAGGCATTAAGGCAAATACTATAAACACAGAATCAACGTGATGCCTGATCACTCTTCTGTAACAGCTTAAAGGGTTTATTCAACCAAACTAGAAAAAAAAGGTGTTTTATTGACCAGATTTGAGATATGTGGTCAACAGTTTTCATAGGGACTATGACGTGATCAGGAGAGTGGACCCTAAAATCATAATGACACTGTCCACCTGAATCCCATCAGGAACCAGGCTTAAGAAGGACACCGGTGATTGTGACATAACTATTTATGGTTTTAAACTGTACTGTACTTATCTCCAAGTTATGAATCAGACAACTGTTTAGCATTAAGTAAGAAACAGAAAGTATCAGTGAGAGGATGCAGGCAGCTGGTTAATGTTTTTTTTTTAAATGTTGGTGGACGAGAACAACCTTTCACACATGTGTAAATAATGTGTTCCAGGAAGTACTTTTGCTTTCGTGCCTCAACACAGAAAACTCAAAGTAGAGCCTAATTTTAAACAGTAATTCCAAACACCTAATATGTCAGCATTTTCTGTCTTCAATGACTTTCAAAAAGTGATTTGTTTATTGCTGTCTTTCACTCTGCTAGGGATCGGGAAGTTCATTGCTCTGGACTTTGCACGTCGTGGGGCCCGTGTTATCCTGGCCTGTCGAAGCGAGGCCCGGGGGACAGCAGCCCTTAAAGAAATCAGGGAGAAATCAGGAAACTCTGACATCCACCTGCGTCTGGTGGACTTGTCTTCTCTGGATTCTGTCAGGGAATTTGCAAAGGGGGTTCTTGAGGAGGAGAAAGCTCTCCACATCCTCGTCAACAATGCGGCAGTATCAGGTGACACATGCGCCAACATCTGTTTTAAAATGTTTTGGGGGGCCACAAATACCAACCAGAGTTAACTTCATTCTGTGAACAAACCAAATATTCTTTTCACATGAGCTAGTAAATCATTGACAGCAATATAAAGAATGGGAATAACATTGAAACCCCAAAAAGAACATCCAGTCTGTACCCATCTGGCACACATCTGGAGGCAAAGAGCAAGACGTGCCTCTACTAATTACAACAACAAAGGTTTAGTTTCCAGGGCCAAGGTTGGTTTTAATGGTTAGAGAATGCATTATGTCAATGTAGGCAAGTATAAAAAGTACAAATGTGTTTGTTATATGTGCAGGCTATCAGATATAATCTATTTTTAAAAATCTAATTGCATTAAACCTACTACCAGGGTTACCCAGGCAGATAACCAAAGATGGGTTGGAGGTTTCTTTTGCCACCAACCATCTGGGACCATTCCTTCTCACCAACCTGCTACTGGGTAAGACTTTCTTTATTCTTTCTTTAATACAGCAGCATTATTCTGCATATGAAATGATGATTATACAACTGCCTATCATTACCATGACAAGTATTTTGTGTTTTATTGTCCCTCTTTCCTTCTTATCTCTCGCTCTGCACGTCTCCGGGTCTTTTCAGACCTGATGAAGCGTTCCGCTCCATCGCGAATTGTCACCGTCAGCTCAGTCAATCATAGACTGGGTCAGGTGGACTTCTCTCATTTTCATGGCGAGAACCTCACTTATTACATGGATAAAGTCTACAACCACACTAAGCTGCACAATATCATCTGTACCAATGAGCTAGCACGCAGGCTACAAGGGACAGGTAGGCTACAATCAAGAATCTTATGATTATCACCCATTAGTATAATGCATGGTCTTCTCTGTGTGCTGCAGAAGATGTAAGACAATGCAAATGAGAGCAATGTAGTTTGGTAAACAAGATGTCTTGGGTTCCTCTCTTGAGAAGAAAACACCCAGTAACCAAAAAGGAGAAATTCACCTTTAATACTTTTGCCTAAATAAGGTGTCCCTTAATCATTTTATATATTGAATGTCATAACATTGGGCTCATAGCTCAACTCTTTTGGCATGACTGTATGTAACTTGTTTTATGAACCTTTCTTCTGAAGATAAAGTTTGTTTATGCATCTCTGTGCTTGCCAGCCTCTCTCTTAGTCAAACACTCAGTGGCGTGATCACTCCTCAGGCTATGCAGTATGTTTGCTCTGTTCTACAAAACAGATAAAAAGTAAATTTTTCAGAGAAATTAAAAGAGAAAATAAACTGAAACTGAACTTATAGTCAGTCTCCAATAAGGACGCAGATGATCGCAATCATCAAGCCTTTATCAAAGCATTGCAAAGCTAAAACTATTTTCCACTTTTGGGTCATTTAAAAAGAAAATAACATTCTACAGGAATATTTGCAGTCAAGGACTTGTTGTTGAGACTGGCCTTGTTACAGCTTCTTGTTTCTTTCTGGACCCTGAATTTATGTGTTTGTGTGTGCCTCTTTGTGTTTGTGTACATGCAGGTGTCACCGCAAACTCTGTGCACCCTGGTATTGTCATGACAGAAGTGTTGAGACACTATCCATTTATAATTCGTTTTGTTTTCAACCTCATTGGAATTTTCTTTTTCAAGGTGAGTACAATTTTGCAGTCAACATGATTTCTCCACTGCCATCTCATCAGTTTTGCAACTTGAAAGATTTGGTTTCTATCCAATGGCAAGTAATACCAAGGCCAATGTCAATACCGATATTGATACTTTTCATTGTTAAAGTACTATCATGTAAGAGATCAAAGTTACCAATCACTGCACACACACAACAGCAGCAGAGATGCACATATTGCAGCAATAAGAACAATGTGCATGTGCCCAGGAGGTCATCTAAAATTAGGTGGATCCAATTGTTTGGTATGACGCTGTTATTGATACTCAAATCAAGACTTGATACACTGATACATTGCACATCACAAGCCAGAACACAAGCTCAATGTGCAAATCAGATCTCTAGTAGGAAATCTCATAAAAACAGGTTGAAGTATAACCAAATGTTTCACAGTTCACCACAAAAGCTGTTGGTATGAACTCAGTTTAGAACTTTAATTGCTGTTTTTTACTGTACTAGGAATGCCAGTGATTTTTTTTGTGGTTTTTGTTTTGGCTCTGCTCTCCACTGCACATTGGATCATCCTGAGATCCCTAGTTTTAGATGTTTTAGATTTACCACTCAAAATTTTTATTTTTTTAAATAATGGTTCCTTGAATTCAAACAGAAGTAAACAAAACCTGACATTTATTTTTTTTTAACTCTGAGACTGTAAAATCCCCAGATAAGTGGAGGAATATGAATGGATGATGGATATAATAATATGATTATTTGATATTGTACTCACAAAAGTAATTGCTGAGATCTGGGAACACATATATCACTACAATGTCAGACAGGGCAAGAAGCTTCAGCACTGACACAACCAAACGTTACCTTAGAATAAGGCTAGGGAGTGGGTCAAGTCCGCCATGTTGAACCGCCATGTTTCTACAGTAGTGCAGAACTGACAAACCAAACACTGCCTCTAAATAAGGCCTTTCACGTTATCCACGAGTTTCACAGCCACCGTAGTTTGTTGTAAACGTTTGAAACGGGAGGATGAGGCGAGGGAGTTGTAATTCTGCAACTTTACTGCTAAATGCCACTAAATCCTACACCTTTACTAGCTTTAAATGAGTCAACAGTTTAGCCATATTAGCTATCTGATCTTATTTGGAGGTGAAACTCAGAAAGAACGCACCTAGAATGTTGCTATTCCAACATTGCACATAATTCTGTCTCTGTGAAAACTGTGTTGCATGTTGAGCTAAGAAGCTGTTAGCTGATGTAAACTGATGATCAACAGATGTGTGTCCAAGATCTCAAGACAAGTTATAAATCAGAACTCTCCTTTAGGCTCACAAGACTTGTTTGATTGTTTAATTTCAACTCCAAACTGCTGGTGCGAATGCAACAACTGATTGCAATGCATTTCACATTGTTGTTGTGTGTTTATAAAAAGTCTTGTTTCCTGGAATCCACTGTTAACACTGCGTCACATCTTTTCATAGCCATGCTGTGTACATTAGGCCACGCACTTTCTGACATCTGGGATCCATTATCAGCTTTTTGTACACTCAGAGTTTAAACGCTTGATCTAGCCTGTACCCATCTGATGTGTATCTGTGATGTTTATCTGTATGGGCAGACTATGCTGAACAACTGGTTATACTAGACAGGGCAAACTTTACGAAAACTTTTTTTTGACCGACTCTAACCTTTCCTCTTCACCATCCTTGTCTCCCTCTCAGTCTTCAGAGGAGGGCGCTGTCAGCTCAATCTACTGTGCAGTAGCAGAAGAAACAGAGGGAATCACTGGGAAGTATTTTGACAGTGACTGCTCCCTGGTTCTCCCCAGCCCTTTAGCTCGAGACGCTGCCCTTGCAGTCAAGGACTTTGAGATCAGCGAGAGAGTGACATCAAAGCTCTGAGGCAACTATCAGGCAAATGGAGGCTTGATAACAGAAAAGGGGTCAAATTCCGCACTCTTACCGCACTTATTGAGGGAACGATTCTGAAACAGTATGCTTTTTCAAATCATCAGGTGGAAGTTTTTGAATATATTTTGAGGAGTAATTTGAGACGTGTTTTTTAAGGAGAGCACAATTGAATCATGTCTTTAATATTTGCCTGCATTGGTGTGAATAACAGGACAAATGTGGTTAATCACTTAATACTTAAAAGTAATTGTCAGTCATGTTGTCTGAGTCATTCATGAAAATGATGAATATGTTTTCTTATTTGTAAGAAAGTCCTGTGACTTTCATTCAGGTATGTTACTGAGTGAAATGAAAGACTTTCCTAAGAGAGATGCTGACACCATGTGGTCAACTCAAGCTAACATGATTCCTGAGAAACGACAACAGAAGCTCCAATAAGTGACACAGTTACTTCCCTTTATTGACTTGATTCATTCAAACACAATAAAACATTTTAGAATTCAGTGCTTTTTGAAGAATTTGTACAGCGTTCATCCACTCCTGGCGTCGGCCTCACTATTTGGCTGCAGAGACAGAGATAGTGAGAGAACAGCGTGGTTACCAAAGAGCTTTTTAATCATAACACTGTCACTTGTATGCAACTACTAATCATATAAGGATAATAAAGGAAGATATGTGGCCAGTGCTGTGTTTGTTCAAAGAAGCCTTTATAACAAATGTGTCTCGCTACATACCTTTCTGGCGTTCCTCCACTATATCATGGATGATCTCTTCAAGCACTGGAGCCACATGATCCAGCTGTTTGGGTGAAAGGCGAATGGCAATCTCCACTGTTTTATCCTGGACACACAAAAGAAGAAGTGGTAATGGCTTGTATTTAATGACACTATTGTTTGGTGAAGACAGCAACAGTATTGGGCGTGAAGATGGTGTGTGTGTGTGTGCGTGCGCTCACAGGATTTCCACCACGCTCCGCCTGAGGAATCTGTTGGACTGTAACCTCTTCAAACTGACCATCCTCCGATCGGGGCTCCATGTCCTTTCTACCTTCCCGCTCCTGCAGCACAGGCACACAAACACAAAACACACATATTTACACCAGAATGAAAAACTACTGGAATATAGACTGGACGAATACAACCACTGGTCATTCTTTCATTATACTCAAGTATGAAGAGCTGCAATGAAGTCATTCATCCCTTATCAATTAACTCCTTTGTTTTCTGAGACACAGACAGTTTATCAGTTCCTGATACTGATTTGGCTCTGAGGACACGACCTCCACATGAGCTATTTTTTGTTTTATGTAACTTCATCATTCAAACTTCACAGAACTAAAACACCAAACGGCAAAACTCAAGAGAAGTGTGGGTCTGAATTTCCCAGTCCATCTTTTCTGTTGGATAAAAAGGAGAAAATATTCCTTAATTTTTTTAAATTTAATAAAAATCACTCAGTATTGATGTTTGGTTTTTTGCTACTTGGGCTGCAACTAACAACCGTTTTCATTATTTATTCACATTCCAGTTTTCTCCCCCAGTTAAGATGAATCATTTGGAATCGATATGTCAGAAAATAAAGAAAAATGTCAATTTTGTAAAACCCTATCTCATGTCATAAAATTGTTTGGTCTGACTAAAATGTTTAAATTACTGTAACAAAAGCTGGAAAAAAAGGAAAGTATTTAATAATAAATATTTGCTGATTATTTTGAATCTATTCATTACCAACAGTAATAAAAAAATTATGTTACATAACCAAAACTGATGCTCATTCAGTAAATACAATATAATGTAAATCTAATGAGACTTTATTACACTGAAAAGACATCAGCCATTACTATTAGACTGTCACTCAGCCCTTCTTCTTCACACCGTCCAATCAAACACAAGCTGCTTACCTTCATTAGCATCATCTCCTTTGGGCTGAAGAAGGTGATGTGTCCTTCTGTCCTCTCTGCCAGCAGCGCCACCAGGCACACCAGCACCACACAACCAGCCACTGCTCCGCGCATGCTCATTCTTCTTCGTCCTGGACACACACACACACACACACACGTATACTGTACATTGCTATACACACAGAACAATGTAGGTTCATGAAGTGGTGTGGCTGAGTCAGTGTTTCCACATGAACAGGGGTGAGCGACACTGAGGCCAGGCCACACAGAAATTTTTAGCAGTGGTAAAGAGAGGCGACAGTCAAAATAGGTCAACATACAGTATTTGACATGAGGTTCAGTGTGTGTGTGTGTGTGTGTGTGTGTGTGTGTGTGTGTGTGTGTGTGTGTGTGTGGGTGTGCTAGAAACAATAACTGAGTTTGAGTTTAAAGGAAGAAGGACACAGGGGATCCCATGTCATTATGCAAGAGAGAGGTTGACAAATAGACAGTAGGGGAAAAGAGAGAGGTGGGAGGAGGGGGGAGAAGCATGGAAGTAACAAACTGCTCCACTGACAAGCGAGATAAGAGGCCGGACTTACTCTCAACAGCAAGAAAGCTCTGTACACAAACGTAAGGGAATGAAGACGGGACGTCAAAGAGGAGAAAGACAAGAGTAAGAGAAAGCCCAGAGAGACAGAGGAGCTCAAGAAGCTCTTTGTTACTCACGTGCTGTGTCAGCCTTTGTCAGTTGCTGAAGGAAGTGTGCTTTAAGATGAGCAGAGCTCTACCAGTCTGAGCGTCAGCTTGTCCCAGTCAGCCTTTATATCAAGCCTTCAACTGATCTCTGAGCTTTTTTACTGTCCTCCCTCACATCCGCTCCTCAATAGGCTCCTTCAAGCACTCTCCTCCATGCTCCTTGGAAACACACATATTGTTCAGGAATCTGGCTCTTTATTACGGCAGTAAGCTCACCGTGCTGTATGTATTTAGGCCTTTGACAAGATTGACAAAGGGACACATTGATGATCAACCCTGTGGTGGCTGCATATTATTACAGGATGGTGATTATTTGTAGATCTGGATGAGCCCTCTTAGAACACAAAGAAATCACTATTCAGCCTCATTTATGCATACTGATATTATCACACAGGACAGACAAAAACAGCAAAACAAAAAAGGATTATTTTCCTTCAAACAACTGAAGAAGAAAACTAACTCATCCATAACTCATCTTAAAGTAGACTACTGCTAACTGAAAAGCAAAGTTCAACCTGTATGTGAGGTAAATACTGAAAAATTATATGTGATTCATATACTGGACTTCACTGTGTGTGTGTGTGTGTGTGTGTGTGTGTGTGTGTGTGTGTGTGTGTGTGTGTGTGTGTGTGTGTGTGTGTAGCAGCCAGGATACGATCTGTCCAAAGAGGTCAGTCATAAATTCTCTGCTCCAAACTAATATCCAACACAATGTGACATTTATGACCTGCTAGTAATTTATACTTGTGTACAAACAGACCCACATGCATCCGTTCCTTGGAAACAAAATGACTCTAAGGAACTTTATTGATGCTTTTTCCTAAATATGACACTTAACTGTTTTCCTGCATGGTCGTGCAATGTTCTCTCAGGCTGGATTCATACTGCCGTCAGAATACTCAGCAGGAGTGGACAATTTAAAATATTGCCACCATTGTGTCTGGTTTATTGCAATTTGAGTACATGAATACAGCTTTGTATATCACCTGTAGCGCTTTCTTGTAATGCTACCCCAATGACGCACAGCTCTCTCTACAATTTTCCATCACCAAACGTTTTTATAATGGGTCCAGTAAAGTACTATTTCTAGCTTTTTTGTTTTTTAGATCTACAAATCTTCATGATGTATGCGAGTCACAAAAGTAAAGGATATGTAATAGTTTAAAAATAGATTTGTACTTTTTTTTAAATCAACCTTATAGTCAGTGTTTTTTTTATGTCAACCACAGTATTCTGTATTTTATTTATTGTCAATAAATCACAAATCCCATAAAAAGATAAAACCCAACAAAGAATCCTAACAAGTAGATGAATGTTGATATAGTTTATTCCTCTGTGTAGTATTAAGTATTTTGATAACTGATTCAATTTCTTTAGGCAAAAACACCAAAAGTTCACTGATTCCAGCTTAAAATTTGTGAATATTCACTGATTTTCATTCTTCTCTGTGATGATAACTTGAATATGTTATATTGGTTTAGGACTGCTGGTTGGAGATTTGAAGAGTTCACGTTGGGCTCTGAGAAAATGTGATGGACAGTTTCTGTCATTTTATAGATTAAACAATAAACAAATCAATCTAACAAATAATTGGCACATAAATCAGTGATTAAAATAATTTGTTAGTTACAGCCCTAGTACAGACCTCCTTGGGTCTAAAAACAGTAAAAATAAATAAATAATACTACACATTAGTATATAGGCTTAGTCCAACATATATGTCCTGCTGCTATTAATACCCACTTGTGTATGTGTATTAATCCCTGGCTGAAAATAGTCCCCAACAAATGCACAATTTACTCCTGTTTACAGAGCCTTTACCTAACCCTGACGGATATTTGTGACCCATCTACACACCCCATGGCTCAAACATACAGGTGTTTGGACCGCAGGGTGTATCCTGCCTAATCAAAGCTCTTCTCCGGGCTACTGTATAATGGGTGGTGAAGAAACTGTGCTCGAAGGACATCTCCCTCACTCCCCTGTTGCACCTGTTCAGGGACAGGACCATCATCAGCCTGACTAGAGCTTCAGTCAGAGTAAGTGAAAAGACCTGTGTGGGTGCAGCCCTTTACTGACTGTCAGTACAAATTCAGCAGATACAAATGAGGTTTGGTGCCCCAGACAGGGTAGACAGAGATGTACTAATGCATTATAGGGTTTGGTCTTTTGATGGGATTTGTTAACTATAAGAAAAATATAAGATGAACATTCCACTTTTAATTTTACTTGAATGTTGAAAACTGCCACTCTGCTCTGAATCCAGCAGGTGGAGCCTTCTCTCCCTCTCTGGTCTCGCGGTGTTTGGTCGGTGTCGCGGGATTTAGGTCATGTGGCAATTGGCTGAAACGTGTATCTGCAGTCTTTTTCCCGAGGTGAAGGAGCCGAGCAGACACGCATTGCGTGCTGCTGCAAAGATTTACTTATCATGGTAAGAAAAGTGGAGCTGGATGTTTGGGCGTACTTATAAAGTTGTCACTGAAGGATACAGTTGAAGCCTCTGTAAGATTACCGACGCTTTTAAAAACAGAAATGGCTATTTTTATTTTTATATATATTTACTGTTGTGCAGCTGAAGGCCTTTCAACATGAGTGTTAGCCACCCATGTAGCTACCTTTAGCTGGATGTTTTTAACTTTAAAGTACGTAGGCTGCCATTACGGACATTAAACACGGACAGCTGTGTACGTTGCAGTTATCCAGGTGAAACCCAGGGACTTGTTGTTTTAGCGGCAGCACATTAGTTGAGTATTAGTTTGTGTTACTGCGCGATAACTGAGATGCTAACATAAGTTAGCTTTATAGCACTTTTCTGCACGGGCCCAGGTCAACACGTGGGTTCGTCCTGACGACAGCGTGGCTGCGTGTGAACGTCACGGCGATATTTGAGGCCTAAGTTAAAGCGAGAAACCGACGCAAAATAAATATATTTTCCCTTTAAATTCATAATTACATTTTAACCGCAACAAGTTAGATTAACATACTTCAAGCAGTTATACATTAGCTTCTGTCGGCTCGTGCCTCTTCGGTCTCCACGTGGAGATTGGTAAACACACGTAACTTTGTACATTAAGTGTTGGCAAACATTTTACGGAAGTTGTTCTGATAGTTATAACATGTTACCTCGTGTCGTTAGCTCGCTCCTTATTCCACTGCTTTTACCTTCCGCAGGTGCTGTTGCACGTGTTGTTCGAGCATGCGGCGGGCTACGCGCTGTTCGCCGTCAAAGAGGTGGAGGAGATCGGCATGCTGCTCCCTCAGGTTGGTCCTCTGCTCTGGTTTCTTCTTGCTGTTGGTTTGATCTGTTCTCCAGATGGTGCACAGTTAACAGTTTGAGTGTTTTTTAGGTGGAGGAGAGCGTACTGAGCATCGGAAAGTTCAACGGTATGGTGAGCCTGGCGGCCTTTTTCCCCTTCAAGTCGGCCCAGGGAGCTCTGGAGAACATGAATGCAATTTCTGAAGGCAAGCTGACTTCCTACTTTGTGAATGTATTGGTCTCCTCGGTTGTAATGATGTTTAATAATCTGTCAATCCACTGAGCTACTGTGCTGACAACCTAATGTAAACCTGAACACCGAGGAAACCCTAATGAAATGGAGCAGTTGTTGAATAGGCTGACCTGATGAAATATTTCATGTCAAGTATGCTATACATGCAGGACATACAGCATAGATGAAGTTTCAGTCCTCTTGGACCCACGGTGCAAAGAGGCAATAAATTAATTTTCTATGACTAGAAAAGACATAAAATTAACAATCAACAATTTAACAGACATAAAAGAAACAACAATCAGGAATTCAGAGATTGTTGGTGTAGATTCTACAAGAACTAAACAGTTAGTTTTCCAATTACCTGTTCTCATTGGCTGCAACTCATTATTAATGAATCTGCTAATTTATTGTTACTAGTGCAGGCTAACTTCAATATAATGAGATAAAACAGAGAAAAGCAGGAAATATTAATATTTGAGAAGCTGAAAACATAACTTCCTACAACTTTTGCACAAAACTACTCTACTTCAACTGCTGGTCCCACTATGCAGTTTATCAGTACATTTCTGATTGAACTGGGGCTAGTTGATTGCATGAAGGAATTATACATGGCAAAGAGAACTTTAAAAATCTGGATACAGATACATTGGGCCTCTTCACATATCTTTAACGATCTGTTCCATTTCAAATAGCTTTGCTGCACAATCTCAACCTCATTTAAACGTAGTGCATACAGATAGATGAATAATCTCCACTCTTTCCCCTGCAGGTGTGGTTCACGCTGACCTGAAGTTATTCCTAGAGACAAATCTGCCCCTCTCTGGGAAGAAGAAAGCTGTGTTGGGGGTTTCAGATGCCAAGATCGGGGCAGCTTTACAGGAAGAGTTTAGCGTTTCCATCCAGACTGGTGGGGTGGTGGCAGAGATAGGCAGAGGTGAGACGGCTTGCCTATGATTTTATTTACCCTGTTTAGGAAGAGTGCACAAATCTTTTATCTTTTGGTTTTTGCTTATTGGACAGTGGGAGCAGATGGAGGACTAGGACTGGACCTATGCTAAATGCTTTAACTTTTGAAACTTGTAGCGTTTTAGAGATAATGTGGCTGGTTGTGATGCGATCTTGTGATCCTGAAACTCATGAAGGTGCATACTGAAAATCTGAACAGCCACTGGTCCCATGGTGGTCTGCAACTGTTGCACTTAACTCCAACAAACCATTTTTATTTGTCATCTGTCCTGTCAGGTTTGCGCCTGCACTTCCACTCCCTGGTGAAGGGTCTGACAGCCCAGGCTGCGTCCAAGGCACAGCTGGGTCTTGGTCACAGCTACTCCAGAGCTAAAGTCAAGTTTAACGTCAACAGGGTCGACAACATGATCATCCAGTCCATTGCTCTGTTGGATCAGCTGGACAAAGACATCAACACTTTCTCTATGCGTGTCCGGTAGGGTTCCCTCCGTTGCACCACCTAAACAACATATCTATCTGTTGGCTGAGGGGGAAATGTTTCATAAAAAATTAAACATTGCAGCAAGTGGTTTTTGCAGTGCTTGTGGGCAGTTTGAGAGAGAGAAACTTGAAAGTCATTAACAATCTCTGCCTTGTTGTCTGCAGTGAATGGTACGGCTACCACTTCCCAGAGCTGATCAAGGTCGTGCCCGACAACTCGATGTACTGCCGTCTGGCTCAGCTCATCGGAAACAGGAAGGAGCTGTCGGAGGAGAGTCTTGAGAGCCTGGAGGAGGTGGTGATGGACAGCGCCAAGGCTCAGGCCATCCTGGACGCATCGCGCTCCTCCATGGGTCCGTGAAAATATCTTTATCATTCTTTAAAACTTGAACATACAAAAAGACTTGATGTTTTGTCACTTGAACACCTTGCCCCCTTTTTGCTCATCTCGGACCAATAATTGTCTTTGGTGATAACACAGGGGGGCAGAGTAGCTCTCTCATAAACCTGTAGTGAAGGCACAAATCCTCACTGCGGATCCTGTCGGGAGAAACAAACGCACATTCATTTAGAAATGACCAGTAAACCTTTTCATTGTCGAAGCAACACTACACAAACATTCCAGTATGTGCATAGTAGTATCCCACTTCTCACCATCATCTTCTGATTGTTCTCCAGGTATGGACATCTCTCCCATTGACCTGATCAACATAGAGAGGTTCTCCGATCGTGTTGTGTCTCTGGCTGCCTATCGGCTAGAGCTGCAGGAGTACCTGCGTTCCAAGATGAGCCAGGTGGCTCCAAATCTAGCAGCATTAATCGGAGAAGTGGTAAGTACCAGTTTAAGTAGTTCACAAGTGGCTTTGTGTGTATTAAATGGGACCAATGATGTTATACCAAAATCTGTCAATCCTCTGATCAATGTGCTGACAAACATCCGGTGCTGATGGTCCTCCAATAATGTGTGCTCAGCTTCCATCAAATCCTTTCTTAGATGGGAGCTTCAATGTTATATGCCGGTCAGACTGATACCATTTTCTCTTCTTTCAGGTGGGAGCTCGTCTGATCTCTCATGCTGGCAGTCTAACCAACCTGGCAAAGTACCCAGCCTCCACCGTTCAGATCCTGGGAGCAGAGAAGGCCCTGTTCAGGTACTGGGGCACCCCCTCCCTGCTGGGGAAAGAAGTGGCTGCAGTGATGGCAGGGCTGGGCTGGAGCAGAGCAGGGTGACCGGTGAAGACTAAAGTCTCCTCTGGAGTGATCCCTCTCGCCCTAAAGCACCCCCACAGTCTGAGCAGCCACTCACAGCACTGAGGTAGTACATCTGAAAAGCTAGTGGCCATAATTGATTTTAATGCCAACCTGCACTCAGTTGTGTGTTTTGAAACGGAAGAGCGGGTCCAAAACTGCTAGCACAAAATGGTGTACTTCTAGACTTTTAGATGAGAATGCATTGCTTGACCTGCTCTGTCCTGTGTTTCTGTGTAAACTTCAACACTATTTTTAGTGGCACAGATGCACTTGACAAAGGCTCAGACTTCCTCTTGTGCTTATTGAATAACATTTTACTGTTTAACTGCACCCAGAATGTGAAATTGGCTGTATTTTCTCACAGGGCCTTAAAAACTCGTGGCAACACCCCCAAGTATGGACTGATCTTCCACTCGACCTTCATCGGACGCGCTGCCGCCAAGAACAAAGGCCGCATTTCCAGATACCTGGCAAACAAATGCACAATCGCCTCACGCATTGACTGTTTCTCTGGTGAGTGACGGCAACTTGTGGAGTCATGCCCCATGTAAACAACTCATGTGGCATAACTGCGATGATGCTCATATTTTTCGTCAACAGCATTCAACCCTTGGGTTGGTGTTGAGAAGCTAATTACTGAGCAAAGCCACGTCTGTCAAGGCACTTTTAGTCCTACTGTAATCCTCTGCTGGACTTGACTTTTATATTTTCCTTTTCTTTACAGAGGTACCCACAAGTGTGTTCGGTGACAAGCTGCGCGGACAGGTGGAAGAGCGCCTGTCTTTCTATGAGACCGGCGACGTGCCACGGAAGAATGTGGATGTCATGAAAGAGGCATTAAAGGAGGTGAGCTCAAAAATTCAACCTCAAGTCACAGCATGTGAGAGGCTGGGTGGTACACTCAACAGGACATCAACGGTCTGTTAAAGTGAATCTGCTGCCATGGTTTTTTCAAATGCTCTTAAAATAGGTTCAGTCTGTCATTGCTGTGAATGATGACAAATCTTTCCCTGACAACACTGAGGGCACAAACTGATTTAATGAGCCTGACGCAGCATTGATTCTTAAAGGGAAAAACATGGTTTTGCCTGGATTGTAGTTGAATATTTCTCTCCCCCTCATCTTAGGCTACTGATGTTGCAACTGAGATCAAGCGAAAACTGGAGAAGAAGGAAAAGAAGCGCAAGAAGCGTGAAAAGAAGTTGCAAGAGCTTGACGCAAACGGTGAAACCAACGGTGACGCAGGGGTAAGCCTGAATTTTAGTATCTTGCCACGCATGTTTTGATTTGAGATCTGACCCACACGTGGTCCTGTCTCAGTGTACGACATGCTAGATCAGCCTGACTCCGAACCATTGGCTGGTCCCAAATAATGGACTTGATCACTGAAGTGAGTCAGACATTGCAGCCACTTAAAGGACAAACATATATGGTTAGCTTGGAGTAGAAAAATGTTACTTTCCTTGACCATGTTTTGGATCCATGCAGGTGGAGAATGGAGATGCTGACGTCACCTCAGTAAAAAAGAAAAAGAAGAAACAAGCGGCTGAGGAGATGGAGGTCCAAGTAGAGGAGGCACCTGCTGCAGAGAACGGAGCAGAAGACACCCCAGGGAAGAAGAAAAAGAAGCGAAAAGCTGAGGTCCAGGCAGAAGCCGCTGCCGCAGATAATGGAGTGGAGGAAACTGACACTCCAGCCAAGAAGAAAAAGAAACGAAAGACTGAGACCATGGATGTAGAGCCAGCAGAAGAGATCCCAGAGACACCTGTGTCTGAGAAGAAAAAGAAAAAAAAGAAAAAGGAGGCTGCGGAGTAGATGATGTGGTCAAAGACTGAATCTTTATTTTTTGTGTACAGTTTATTTTTATTCCTCTTAATCTGAAGCTATATCATGCAGGCATATTTTTTTTATGTTGTGTATGTCTTTTTTTTTTTTTTCCTAAGCAGGTTAGACTGCAAAGAAATGCTTATGACTGTGCCTTGAAGTCATTTTCCTTGTACTTCTGTAAATAGTTTATCAATTAAAACCTTTGTTGGGTAAAAACCTTGTCTGTCATGTCTTACAGGTTGGGGTCACTAGACCACAAACACACTGAGGCTGTAGTGTTGTGATTTTTGGGAATTTATCTTCTTGCATAACTTGACTTGTGTAGCAGCAGTACTTACAGCTGTTGTCTGGCCACTCATGTCCAATATAGATGGGTAACTATTAATCCCACAATGGGGAACTTCACTTGTCACAGCAACATTTGAGTGAAATAAATACAGATGTAAAAAAAACAGGAACATTTGCATACAGCAGGTCCAAGGTCTTCTTGTCTCTGCTGCATGTGACCAACTGGAAGGTTGGGAGTGTGGAAGAGAGAAACATGGCTGAAGTCTCCTGTGGTGGTGGTGATGATGATGAAGGCCTCCGGGTGTTTCGTTTGTAGTCCTGCAGTTAGAGTGGATGACGTCACACGCTGCTCCTGCTTTCCCAGACGTAGGAATATAAACGGTGATGGCTGGGAAATTCCCATGGCAGATAACATGGACGAAGTCCGACGGCGACAATCTGGATGTCCGGGCTGCAGACGCTCTTTCACACAGACGTGCCCGGGTTACACCACCTGAGCACGGCCAGTCCCCCTCCTTTCTTCATGCCGGTCGCGGTGCTGTCCCTGTCGGCTCAACCAGAGGTGTTAATGGCTTACAGGGACTATTTGCCTCATGGTTTGTCTTTACAGAGATGGAAATAGGAATAGACCAGTGTATGTGGTAGGCAGATTTCTTTTCACAGCATCTAACATAAACTAGTGGGATTAATGGGTGTTACAGTGATACTAACGGAGGCTTTGTCTCATATAGTGTAGCAGCCTTTCCAATGAGCCAACAATGGCAGCACTGACCTGCCTGGAACCGTATCCACTAACTTTATGTAATTACTATGGTAACACCCGTTACCCCTATTTAACTTAAAAATGGCTGCTGTGAAAAGTCTTGCTGCTCAGACGACAACAACCTTTTATGGATGTTTGCAGAAGGTGATGTCAGAACCTTAAAAGGCTTTCTTCAAGGTTTCTAAAACCTCTGTAGTAAGACACCAGTAATGGTTAATAAGCTCACATTTCCACAAATTATACAAGGGAGCATAATAAAATTACTACTGTTTACTTGTTTTGTATCAGGAAAACCTGCTGATGTAACTGTTATTACCTACGCCTGTCTGTCAGTAAGATCAAGAGCAAATAACTTAATCCCTAGTTCAGTGTCCTTACTGTGAACCCTTTGTGGGACTGCAGAGGAGACATTTCGATTTAACTTTATGACTCAGTTGCCGGAAAATTTACTTAGTGGAACTGGACACAAAAAAAAGAGAGAAATGTCATACATTTTTAAAAAGGCTGCAAAAAATCATAACATTGCATATTCCAATGTCAGTAAATCATCAGTGGTCACAAATTGACCCCAACAGTAGAAGATACAACGTAAATATCAATTTTAAGAAACTTAATTGCTCTACTCTACTAGCAGATAATATAGGGTGGTTGGAAGTGCTGGAGATATGTATGCTCCAAAAATCATCCACAAAATGAATACTGCAAATATTGGAGTGTGTGTGGATACTTTTCCCATCGTAAATCTGAACAAAAAGGAAACCTTCGAGGTTTCAGTTACTGTTTAATGCAGTATTGTTAGATTGGATTGTATAAGACTGCTTTCGGTTATTTTGACTCAATCTGTAGAACTGCTATCTAACCAACAGTCAAAATTAACTCGTATATTAACTCAACACTGAATATGGTACTTCTGGGTTGATAGATTGCATTTTTATTGACACATTTTATCTTTGAGCAGATCAGATATTAATACAACTGACACTTAGTTGTCACTGGAGCCTGAACCTGCACAACCTGCTAACTGGCCTGAAGAGTTTGTGTATTTTAGCTCAAGCCCAAAGGTACTGACGTCCATATTGCCTGTGTTTTGCATAGTGACGTCCCTTTGGTTATTTAGTCTATCAAATATTTTAACAGTTAAGTGTTTGCTAGCTGCCTTGACTATCCTGCATTTAAGACTGGGAAAACGAGTTGTTCGAAAATACAATACTGAATGTGCATGAACCTTGTGGGCCTGAATGTGTAAATATTGATGCCAGACCCATACAAACTGTTCATAACTTTTAATTTGGACAACAAGGATTAAACCAATGTTAAAATGACATCAAATCCAAGGCCTGGCTGATGAAATCAGCCAACTAGTAAGAGTTGAGGAATGAGAGACAGATGGAGGGAAATGGGGCAAAAAGAAAAGTCAAGCTATCAACTCAAGTCACCCCCAATATAAGGATTCACAGATGCGGGAGACCAAAGTTACAAAAACGTATTTCCTCTAAAATAAAAAAAGGCCTTTGCCATGAAAATGATGTGTAGAATCTATGTACATCATTCTCAATTCATGTATGCATACAAAAAAATCCACATCACAAGATGCTTGTGTTCAAGTATATTCACCAACTTCATCTCCATGATTTAGCATTCTCGTCTTTCCACATTTTTTTGAAATAAAATGTCCTTCAAAATAAAAACAAAATGCAGAAAACCACATTTTATGTCCTACCAATACATATATACTGTATAAATACATACATAAATATATTTTACATACAACAGCCATAAATTTGAAAAGGGGATATACAGAGCAAAGGGGAGGGGGGGTGGTGGTAGTGTGTGTGTGTTTTAGCTTGTGTTGTAAAATGGTTTGTCCCTCTATGATTTCATCAGTCAGATACGCAGGTGTGGTGCTGTGTGTTGGTGTCTGTCCATGCACACACACGCACATCATAATTGTAGCCATCTCAGTTGGCCCAGTACGGGGAGCTGCCGTAGCTGGACTTGTTAACTTGGCTCTTCTGCTGCATGCTGCTGGACTGGCCCCGCTGGTTGGGACCACCCTGAACACGGAAAGACGTACGTGTAAAACATCTGAGAAACCCTCATCTGTGAAACTGCTGAATAATATCTGCGAGTGTTACCTGTCCATCCTGAGCTAGATGGTGGTGCAGCAGCTGTGAGTGTGGTTGCTGGTGAGGCAGGATGTGAAGGAATGGGGCCGGTGCATAGCCTCCAGGAGCTGCTCCAGGGTTGAGAGGCCCTGGACCCCCCAGTGCTGATGGCAGGCTGAAGGGAGGAGGGGTCCCCGCATGGAAACCCTGCTTATCAAAAGACTGCAGATGGAGGATAAAGGACAAATGTAACATACCTATATATTTATATTTATGTAAACACAAACTATACAGTGAGACAACGGGGTAGGTGGGGCGTTGAGGTCTTTGAGGCTCACCTGGGTCTTATTGTAAACACTTCCACTGATGTCTGGCACACCCGAGTTACTGGACGTTACTGAGACGCCTAGCAAGATGACAGCAACAATGTTTACACATTGTAATTCCAAACAACTTTTCAAACCCAAATTAAGATGGTAGAAACAGTGAGTGCTTTTTCTTACCTTTACCGGGCCCAGTAGCAGCAGATTTGGCTTGTGCCTGTGAGGAGGAGTTGTATCCTTTACTGTAGTCCACTCCTGCTGGCCCCGCTGTCAGCTCCTCATACCCTGGACAAGAAAACATCAACCTCAGAGTTCAATACACACCATTTCCCATACAAGAAATTCCACATATTATTATAATAATAATAATACTCATACTTATAATACTAATACCTATAATACTAATAATAATACTAATAATAATTTAGGATTTCATAACTCAAATCAAATTAACTTCAACAAACATTAAATTTAAATTAAATTAACTGGTGTGCTCACTAACCTGAGCTGAAGGTGTGCTGGCCATAACCGCTGGGCTGCTGCTGTGTCTGCTGCTGGAAGGGGCTAGCCGAGGGGTTTCCCAGACCAAGGCCCATACTGTGCTGCTTTGCTGAGGCTGGTCCCGGGGCCCCGGGAGGAACAAACATGGTGGGGCCGTACTGGAAGGCAGCAGCACTGGGTACAGCACCGGGCACACCGGGGTAGTAAGGCAGGCCTGTGTAGCTGTAGCCTGGAGGCAGAAAAGCC